GCCTACTTAATAAATTAAACATTATCACAAGTATGTATGTGTAAGAATTAAAGATATTGTATAAATGGGGTTCAGGACTACCCATGGCTTCAAAAAGCTTTTGGGGAGTCTTGGAATATGTTTTCTACAGAAATGGCAAGTGGGCTATTGTATTCCTTTGCATTTTCTAGATTTCATTTTTCTCCAAACATTATCCTTTTGGATTGTTATGTTGCTCTCAAACATAGTTAATATAACAAAAACAGAATGTGATCTGTATTATTTCTATTTTTCATAACAAGAGTTCATTTATTAGCAAGTTTGAAAGGTGCCCAAAGGACTTAGATATATAGATGATATAGATACAAGGAAATGCATAAATTTAACAATTACAGTTATTACTATTTTTGATACTGTAATTCTTCTATTGAATTGATTCTTCTGTTATTTTGACATGAATCCAATTTTTGATATTTTTCTTGTTTTTTTTCAAGTAATATAAGGTGTTCCAACCATTTCCWGCTTCAAACATGGAGTCAGTAAAACTCTTGTAATATTTTAATGGGAAAATGCACTTAGAGACCTTTGTACAGTAGATTGTTTATAGCATTTTCAGTGATACAAATATGAAATGATGCTATGTTATTTAAAAATTAAATAATAAGTTCATGCTGATATTATAAACTCAAATTGAGAATTTTATGTGATTTTTGTACTACAGATTTTATCTAATAAAACCTTACTTTACAATCACAAGAACATAATTGTTAGCTTTTTCTTGATGTTTATACTAGTTTCATAATAAAATAACAATCCTTTTTAAAAAATCACATTATTCACTATTTCAAGACTTTTGTTATGCTTGTTTTTGTTTTTTGTTTTGATTTCCTAATAGAACAAACCCTACTTTATCCTACTTGTCAAATTACTGTGTAAATATCAAATGTTTTTAAGAATTTAAGTTCATAGTAATTCTAAAAATATTCTCCGTCACTTTTAGAAAATGCTAGGTAAACACTTTAGTGTTTTGAAACTGATGAATTAAAGGAAAACATCAGATATTTATCTTGCTTTTCCCATACAATCTTATTGTTAAGGGAAATCAAATCAGAGATGATTGACATTTGAGATTTATAAAGTATCTCCACTAACAAATCAGGAAGAAGTGTGTGTTAGTTTTTTGACATCATAAAAAATTGAAGATAATGACCTTACAAAGACAAAAGATTTATTTCGGTTTATAATTTTGGAGGATTCAGTCCATGGTTGGTTGATCCCTTTGCTTTGCACCTGTAGCTAAGCAGCGTATCATGGTAGGAACTTATATAGGAGTAAAATTTCTCTCTTCGTGACCAGGAAGAAAAGGAGAGAAAGAGGAAATAGCTAGGACACCCCAATCTCTTTTAATGACATGTCCTCAATTACCTAAAGACCTTCCACTAGGCCCCACCTCCTAATAGCACCATCTGAAGATCAAGGTACCATAGACCTTTGAGGGATATTCTGGATCCAAAGTAGAACACAGTGATAGACTTAGTGTAACCACTTGCCAGCTAGTTGTCTTTGGGCAAAGTACTTATATTTTATGAGCTCATGTATAGTGTATATGTAGAAATGCTCATTACTAGGCTTTGCCCTTAGAAATCACCTGGTAACTGAGCCAAAGTTTAAGGAACTAGTGTTCAAAGAATAGTAGGCTACATGAGGGGATAAAAGATATCCAAATCCCAACGTTTGTCACACTCTAGTGTGATTCTGCCCCATGAAGTCAAACAAAGATTTAATCAAGACCTATCCTATAGTTGCAATTCTTTCAGACCCTTGAGATCAGTTCTTTGGAGTTTGACTGGCTCAGTTACTTGTTTTGGAAGCTGAGACATCATCAAACATCATGCCATCAGAGGTCTGGCAAGCACTTTCCCTCTTGCTGCTCTGGGAGTCTTTATTATGTAAACCTAGGTGCTAGAATATGAAAGACCACATGGGAAAGAACTGAAATTCCCATTTACTACAAAAACCTTCTCTGCCTCCGCAGCTGACCAATGTTAGCCCTCACAGGTGATCTGAGTCTGGGCAAGAATAAACCAGCTAAGCCCAGCCTCAGTGGCTGACCTGCAGAATCTTGGAATGGTTGTTTTAACTGAAAATCTGAGTGGCTTATTTTGTATATGTCTTTGTTTTTATGAAAAAATAGAAAACTGAAACATGGAGAATATAGATGACCGAACATAAGTCAAATGGCACTGATTGCTAAAGCTGATATCAGGTTCATTTATTTCTCTCTGTGCTCTTCTTATGTATCTGGATTTTGTGATTAATAAAGAAGAAAATACTCAATCTCAACACCACTTGAAAGATTTTCTAGTTAATTTGTTTTTATTTTCTTTCAGTGATTAAGAAGGGACTATTATTTTTTTTCTTCTGTTACTTATACTTTTGTTTGTAATCATTTGAAATACTTTAATGGTTTCAAAATTAAAAATACAAAACATCCAGGAAAATCTTGTTTCTTTCCTTCTCCCTATTACCTTACTTTCTCTCTCCCCCAATAGATATCTGTTTATATTAATTTTTATATGTATATTTTGGGATACATTTTATATAATTGTTAGAAAATTTAGAATTAAATTTGTGATATATGTTATATATGTGTGTATATATGTGTGTGTGTGTGTGTGTGTGTGTGTGTGTAAAATATGAAGAGAGAGGAGAGAAAGAAAAACAAGGGAGTTAAGGGTTACTGGTTTTGTGTAACAAGTCTCTTGAATAGTAATGGAACTGAAAAAATAGCTAAAGAACTTATCAAAAGAAAAAGCAGTAACATGAAATGAGGGCTATTAATTATAGTTCATATTAATCAAGTAACTTCTATGTGCCATACATAAATTATCACTTTGAATACTTACTAGGACCTTATAAAGTAGACTCTTTTTGGACCTACAGGTAAATGATAAAATCAATGCTCTGAGAGTTGATTAGCTATCTCTTGTAATAAATCATGGCAAATCTTAGCTTGTGGAAACAACAGGTATTATCATCTCCTAGTTCCTTTGGTTTTGTGTGCCTTTTGGAGGGTGGTTCTGGCCGTCTTTCATGCAACTGCAATCAAGATGTTAGTTGAGGTTGTTGTCACTTCAAGCTTTGACTCTGGATCTGCTTCAGTGCTCACTCTCATGGCATATCACAGCAATTTCAGAGCTTGCTCATGTAGGCCACGTCACAGGGCTTCCCCATGACAAGGCATTTGGCTTCTACCATCAGGAGTGATACAGGAGCAACCAACATGGCAGCCACTGTCTTTTTACAATCTATTCTTGGAAATGACATCTATCATTCCTGTCATATTCTGTTTAGTACAACAAGTCAATAAGTCCAGCTCACTCAGGGGGAAAAGATGGATTTTTGAACAGGATATGAACACCAGGAAGCATCCATCACAGGAGTCACATTAGGAGGTATCTAGCACAGGTGAAGCTATTTAAGCTATCACAGACAGGAAGCGGTAGTCCTACACTGAGAAACTGCCCAGTCTAACATGCATGTTCTTAACCATTATGCAAGCACCCACATGCTTCATGGGTGACATTTTATCTTTCATGGGACAATAGTCATTCCTTGCATGTGGCTCTCTCTGTGGGAATGTGAGGGTATTTATGGCAAGGTCACACACATACAAGTTGGCTTTCACTTGTGTAACACATTCACGCACAGGGGTTAGCAAATACAAATGAGCTATAGGTGACGTTCACTATGTAGGGCACAAATGACAACGCTCTCATTTACCTCCTGCTTCAGGAAATGTGCAGGAATACAAGAGAAATTTCCATGAATATAAGTATAACCTTGAATTCACTTTAATTTATAAAAAGTCAAACCCTCTCAGGCTTTAGAATTTTACTGGTAATGAATTATTTGAGACACCCCTCACACTCGATCATGACAAACTGCAGCTTCATATTTCTGGGATGGGGCATTAGTCACAAGGGGCAGGAGCTGGCTAAGGTGAGCAGTTTGTACCACATCTTGGAGGCTGTGAGGAGCTACTGAAGTATTTTAAGCATGGTTGGGTGACACAATTGGATGTGTACCTGCTGCTCTGAACTACCACATTTTGTCTGAACCATCAGATGACATTTTATTTTCTCATGCATGAGACACCAGATGATGCCTCTTTACACTCCTCCAAATTCATGCATGTTGTTTAGTGAAATTTATGATTCTCTAAAGAACGGATAGATCAGTCAAAACCTTCTATTTGCGGATAACTGTGCCTGTCCTTATCCAAGCACCAAAAACATCCGTGGCTGCAAACAGCAGGGCTTTGAGTTTTCTGGGGCACAGATTGATTGCCTAATCTATGGTTTTGTCCTTTGATGGTAACCTCATCTGTTGACAAGAGTCAGGAAGTTAGTGCCAGTTCGGTCAAAATGGACTGAATGTGGTTTTTCAACTACTCTGTCAGTTACTGTGCGGAGCTCTGGATATTTAGACATTAGACAGTAATTTTGTACATCATTAGTAAAGACAGATGACTGCATATATGCATTTTATTTTTCTTTAATTCATGAATCAAACATTTATTGAACCAGCACTGTGATGCTGGAACACAGTGTAAAATAACACATGGCTACTACTTGTACACATTTGGTATCCCATAGCACGATGGGAGCCAGAATACTCTATGGGTGATTTTAGCTTAATATACTGTGGGGGCATTCGAGAAGGATATATAAATCATCAAAGAGGAGGGGCATATAAGAGGTAAGGGCAGAATAAGGAGGGGTATACCCTGTGAGCTGAGTTTGGAAGAATGGAAGAATGGATGAGTTAAGATAAATGGAGGACAGGACTCTATCAAGTGTTGGAAGGATAGTTTTTAAAGGCATGGGGGACCAGCCGAGGCTATAAAAGAAGAGAAAGAAGGAATCATGCCAAGTACATACAATAGGAGGTACTGAACCTACATGGGGAAATGCAGGGCCAAGCAAACTTCCCTGTCTCTTGCTTTTCTGTCATTTCAGCCATCTACGAGAAATCCTGTGAGGTTTATAGGCACCAAGGGCACATGGCTGGATTCTTCTACATCGACTCTGATGGCAGTGGGCCCCTGGGACCTCTCCAAGTGTACTGCAACATCACTGGTAAGAGTGCAGAGTTTCTACTCAAGCATAAACTAGCCATTGGATGGTACAAAGCAATGGGGAATCACTGGAAGGAGCCTCTTATGTGGATAGAAACACAGAGAACCAACTTCTTTTGGGGTAAATTGTTTTGGTAAAGATAGGAATTATCAGCAAGGTTATTTTCAAAAGAGAGTGAGAGGAGAAAATCTGTTAATGGTCTTCATAATGTTTCACTGAATTGAGAATTAATTACCAAGTGTTTTCTGTCAAGCTTGCCAAGGACATGATCTCTCTTAAACTCTGAAAATAGAAAGAAAAGGAAAATAAACAAAAAACAAAATTTAAAGATCAGTGGGAAGCCCTGATTCAATAATTAGGAAACCTTCATTTGTATATGCACCTGAGGACTGTGTATCTGGGTGAATCTTAATATTCTCTCTGGGCTTCAGTGGTTCATCAGCAAAATGGGAATGATAGTTCCACCCCCTAGAGTTGTAAGGATTAAATGCAACCATGTGTAAGTGTATTGGAGAAGCAAGCCAGGCTGGTTATCCATTAGATGCCTAAAAAAATGGTGAGCTGTTTTTGTTCTTCCTAGAAATTTCATGATACCTTGAAACTTCTTTCTAAATAACAGAAGGACATAGAACAAGGCAATTAGTACATGGGTTTAGAAATGACATCTGATCACTAATTTTCTCTGAAATATAATTTCACAGTGCCAGACCTTGATTTAATCGTTAAATAAACATTCAACTACAGGAGCATTCCTACCATGTGGACTGTCATTAATCAGCAAATACACATTTTTTTGTTTCTCTTTCAAGTACTTCTCTTTAGAGATGCCAGCTGTATCATATAATTAAACAGGAAAGTAATAGGGGTTCATTGAGTCCTCATGCCCCAGGTTTCTCAGCAAAAAGGCAACCATATGTATGAAGCTCTTTCTGTAGCTAGACACTGTCCTGAACACTGAGGATATGCAAAGAAATAAGACACAGTGACTATGGTTCATCATCAGTAATAACTGGCAACATTTCCATGCAATCCTACAAGCAGAAATGCAAGCAAACCATTGCAAGAAATGACAAGTAAGAACACTTAGCTATTTAAGCAACTGCATCCAAAGGGCCAGAAATATTCTGCAGATCATGTTAGAGACCTGGAAATGGATGCAGTTTTATTGCATATTCAGAGTACTTCATCTTTCTAAAATGGATGTATGCTAGCTGTTTTTCAGTAGCCCTAAAACATAATTAGAAATTGTATTATTGTTTTCTTTTATGGTTGTGGTAACCTAGCTTGTTAGAAAACCTGGTACAGTACGAGGTTTCTCAGTGAATCTAGGATATTTTTAAAACATATGGAGTCTTGCTAAAAATGCAGGCTTCCCAGCCTCAGAAATTCTATTTCTATAAATGCAGTTTCTCTAAGTTTTCCAAACCATTCTAATGCAAATTCTCCTTGGTCTATATTTTACCAAAAAAGTAATTTGGCTGCAGAATTGAGCAAAGAACATAAATACCTCCTACTGAGAGACCAAGTATGATGTGAAATAGTAGAATTGGTGGTGATGGCAATCATCTATTGAGCGTCAACTACCTTTGAGAACTAAATTGGGAGAGTACAAAGATTATACCTCTTTTTTCATATATGAATATATAACCAGTTTAACTCCACTTCATGTGCAACCACAAGAATGGGAAATTATACTCCATGTATGTATAACATGTCAAAATACATTTTACTGCCATGTATAACTAAAAAGAACAAATACAATTTTAAAAATATATATCTCTTTTAATCCTCACAATAAAGATCTGAGACAGATGCTCATTTTTTATATATTTATATATTTTTATATAGTCCTTAAATGGAAGGATAGAAAATATTAGAATTTCATGATATGCTCAAGGTAATAAGTTCTGCAATTTTGAGTCAAGAATTAGGAAAAAATTCATTTCACTGAAACTTACTTGGATATTTTGTATTGCATGTTTTGCTTAAATGGTATTTTTTAAAATAAAATACTCAGTGATAATAGTATGAAATTTGGGCCTAAAAGGAAAATATGAAGAAGATGTTAAAACCACCTAGAAGAAATAATCTAGACATTGCTATGTTATTATATTATTACAATTTGAAAGGAAACGTTTTCTATGAACACATATTTTCTACATGTATGTTATGAGCATACACAGATATAATAATCTTGAAGTTTCGTAAAGTCCATATGTAGGCTTTCATCCAATTGTATGGATGAAAAACTTGCTATTTGTGATCCTGAAGGATCAGAGACTTGAGTTGTGTCTAAAGGTGAGAGCTATGATGATCATGGGTTGTCATTTATTTTACATATGATTATTTTGGTCATATGAAGTGGCAAAATAATTAGGTTTTACTTTTTTTAGTTTTACTGATTTTATTTTTAAAATACATGACTGTGGGATGCATTACAATTCTTATGACACAAATAGAGTATGATTTTTCATATCTTTGTATATAAAATATGTTCACGCCAATTCATGCCTTTATACATGTACTTTTTTGCATTATAATTCTTATTACACATATATACCACAATTTTTCATATCTCTGTTTATATATATAAAGTATGTTGACACCAAATTTGAGTCTTCATACATGTACTTTGGATAATGATGTCCATCACATTCCACCGCCCTTGCTAATCCCCTGTCCCCTTCCTTTCCCTCCCACCCCTCTTCCCTACCTAGAATTTATCTCATGGGAAGATTAGGTTTTATTTTTTCATAAAGTATGTATAGAAATAAAAACAAGGCTGTGTTGAGGCTAAATTATCAATTATCATATTTTATTGGCAAACAATTTTCCAATGTACTAATGTAATGATGATTAAGTATGCATCTTTCTCTTTGTGAGTTTTAAATCTTCAATGCTCTTAAATGTGAGTGATTTATAACACTATGAAAAGTATGAAAAACTCATCCAGGAAAGACAGAAAGGGAGTAATGAAGACAGTGAAGGAGAAGGGAGAGAAGAAATGGAATACAGAGGTTCAGTCTGTCTTTAGCTCTGATTTTTGAAAACACAAAGCTACTCTTCTCTGCCCTTTCGGAGCAAGTGAAACAATAGTGTTACTGAACCAGACCCATTTTGTATTCCGTGCAAGATGCCATTCACTGAAATGATGAGTTTTACCAGAGTTTATTCATGAGGTGATCAAGCATGTCTTCCATCCATCTCCCTAAGGACAGGCTTAGGAGTATAAAGCAGGATGGTCTAAGACAAAGTGGAAGAAAATTGGAGGTTTGGAAAGGTGAAGTACTTAGTGATCTGTGCATACATAATCAAATTTCATGGCTCTTCATAGGATGCAGGTTGAGAAAATGGTGGTGTTAGCACACTCTGGAGGTGGAGTTTTCACTTTCTGAAATCAAAATCACCCAGCAGATATATATTTGCCCAGGCCCAAGTTAAGAGCATGTGGTTTCAACCATTTGGAACTAGACAAAAGGGGTCTGTAGGTCCCTGGAAAACAACATAGGCAACCGTTACCATCATGACCCATGCATCAGTGGTGTTATCTATAGCAAAGCTTTTGGAATCTAATAATATATTGCTTAGCTACATGACCTCTAAAATTAGTGATTTTAAAAGTCAACTCAAGGAAAGTACAATGTGTTAAATTTGGAGGGTTTATTTGAGTTTTTTTTCTCAGTCTCAGTTACATAAAGAACACAAAGAATGCTGGAGAAAGAAAACCTGRATTCTCCTTTCTATGCCCATCAGATGAGCGTTTATGGCTTCAGTGTCACATTTCTAAAATATGGATCTGTTGCCCAGTGTTCTTACAGCCCTTTCTCATTTAGAAATTTCTGAGATTATCTGTATAATTTTTTTCCTAAGGAGTCTACAGGTACTTTCAAATAGATGTCAAGTGGTTGAAGATGAGAAGCTTTCAGTGTGCAAGATAGCAAATGTGCTTCCCTCTTTATAAGGCACCCTAGGGAATGTTAGTTTCCTATTGCTATAGGCAAGGTGGTACGTAACCTGTGCTGAGAGATTGCAGTCTGTGCATCTAAACTACTCTCAGGGCAATTTTGGGGAGGTGAGATGCTCAAATGCTCCAATGGCAACTGCCACATTTGATGTAAAGTGTCATGATCTCTGCATGGGGAACATAAGCCTAATAACATTAGCAACATGATGGAGTGTTTAAGTTTACCAATGAAGGGACTAAAGTTAAACCTCTGTAAACTTTTGATAGTGTGCCTTCCCTGGAACCCTGTTCTAAGTTGCTTTGCCATGGGACTAGTGGATGGGAGAGGGAGGAGCCTCGGTTTTTGGATGGAGGACTATGTAAAGTGCTGAATGAAAAAGATAAAGAGCTATTGGCTATAGGAATACACACAGGACCTACTTTTTCAACATCTTTGTACATGACTTTATAATTCATTTCAGCTCAATATAATTTCACTCAAAATAAACTTGCACATTGCAGATACTATGCAAGGTGCCTCAGTTGTGAAAGCTTGTCTCCATTAGTTTCCTATAACTGCTGTTACACAACCACACCCTAGGCAGAACATAGAAATGAAGTATATTATCTCACAGCTCTAAAAGCTAGAAAACTAAAATCAGGGTGTTGGCAGGATCACATTTCCTTTGGAGCCTGAAGGATGAATCTTTTATCTCTTCCTCCTTTCTGGAAGAGGAGTCTGCCCCATCCCTGGCATCCCTTAGCTAGAACTAAGTCTCTGCCTCCCAGCGATAGCCATGCTGCCTCCAGATGACCTTGGCACGTGGCTTTCTTCATTTTTGTGTCTGTGGGTCTGTTTCTTTTCTTCCTATCATGGGTACCCTTCATATTGGATTGTGTCCAATTATACCTCGATGGAGTATGAGCTCATCTTAACTTGATTATATTTGTAGAAAATCTTTTCCCAAATAGGCCACATTCATGGGTTTTCAGGGCTAGGAATTCCATATATAATTTTGGCAGAAAATGTTTAACCATGACAATATCATTTCAGCCT